TATATCTACTTATTGGTTTTATTTTCTAACTTATTTATTCTGTATTCTAACTCATGCTTTATTACATCTTTACTTTTAATTCCTTTTGGTTTATTGCATTGTTCCTTTCCTAACTTACTGTCTTCTTTTTCTAAATTCCCTAACTCACTGCTTAATAAATACACTTTTATCCTTTCCAGTTTATTCAAATTACTATCCTGAAAGTTATGACTTGCAAAATAATTACTATATATTTTTAAAAGGTTTACTCATTTAATTCTTTCATGAATGAGAAAGACAGAGAGATAGAGATAGAGAGACAGCATTCCCAGCAGGGGCTTGTTGCCACGACTCCTCCCCAGCCTCAGCCAGCCCCTGGTGTGCCCGACATACGCAGGGAGGTCTTTAGATGTAAACCTGGAACCTCCCCATGTGTGCCAGCCTTGCCGAGCATCACGTCTCACTGCTGTGCCACCATCTAGCCCTGTAATTGCCAATTCCATCTGCATCATCCAGAAGTCGTCTTTGTGTTTGGCATAGTTGTTCCTTACTGAGAATTCTTTCTTTGCTTTCCCAGGACACTACACATTTCTATTTATTTTTAACTTTTCAGATAAGATTATTTATTTATTTTTTTCCCCAAAGGATCTTCCTTCTATAATGAATGTGTGTGGGTTTTCTAAAGTTCTGCCAAGTCCCTGCTTTAAGTCCTCTTGCTTGGCAATCTTGTGTTCTCTTAGCCCTCCAGGTCTCTCTCCCTACAGACTATGTTTAAGTCCATACCTTAAACTAGAAATCATTTTATCTTCTCAGCTTCAGACTTAACATTTTGAACTGTTTCTAGAAAGCTTTATTGGATTTGCTAAAAATTTGAACTTAATATCTAAAACTGACCTCACGCTCTGACTTCCATATTTCAGCCGTATCACCAATTTTTTGGTAGTTACACCTTGAACACTCTGAGATATGTTTTCTTTTCTATCTTTTGCAATAGAATATGTGCGCTAACCAGAGAGAGACAAAGAGAGAGGAAAAGTGTGAAATCACTCCCTGCGGGGTGGGGGGTGGGGGTTGTCATGCTGCAATCTCTTCTCCATTCTCCTCTCAGGATTTTGGACACATGCTCACACTGCTGATGTGCCCTTCAAGCCATTGGGTCTGGGACTTGAACCTTGCAACAGGGCCATGTGGGATCCAGCACCTCAGCCACCACCATCTGCTGATCCATGACGTATGTTTTTTTCTCCTTCTCATTTCCAACATTCCATGGTTGTCAAGCTTTGTCAAACTTGCCTGCAGGCTCCTTTTCTGCAGGCATGACCTTACTTCAGTCTGTGCTTTCTCCTCCTTAACTTGCGGTGTTTTAATAGGTCTCCTATTTCCAGTAGCTCATTTTTTAAAAAGTTTGTTTATTTCTTTAATGAGAGAGAAGGCTAGACAGAGAGGGGGAGTTACCCTCAATAGGGTTTCAAACCATAATATACCGCTGGCCTCCGCCAGACAAGATCAGGGCACCTGTGCTTGGTGTGTATAGGAAGACCTTGGGATACAAATCTAGGACCTTCCCATGTGCACCCAAGATTGCTGGGCATTTCATTACTGCCGTGCCACCAGCGGGGCCATCCAATCTCTCTCTCTCAGTCCATCTGAACCAGCCTCAGAAGTCTGGCCATTCATTTTCCAGCTGGAACCTCAAGGATTCTCCATAGTCCACCAATGAAGGCCTGTTTTCTCAGTGCCGGCAGGTGGTGTGGCAATTGAGACACTGACTCCCACGTGGCCAATTGCAGTTTGAGTCTTGGACCCGGCGACTTGCTTTTTCACTTTCCCTGTTTCTCTCTCTCTCTTTGTTTCTCTCTGGTAAACACGCATGTCCTGTAGCAAATTAAATAATAATAATAATAATAATAATAAAATTAAATAAGTAATTTTAAAAAAGAAAGCTTGTTTTCTCACCTGTCATTCAAGTCCTCCACAGCGAATCTCTGCCCTCTCTTTAAAGCCTTATTCTCCTAATACCATATTCTGTTATGCTCATTGATTCCTAGATTTCTTATGTAATCTTATTTTTAAGCTCTGGTTCATACCATTTTCTCCATTGGTAACAGTTTAGTCTATACCTACTAGAATTTTAATTATATTTTATATTCTATTTCCTATTCAACTTCCTCTGTGAAGACTTTCCTGTTGCTGCTGAATTGGAGGTGATTCCTCCATCATTGGATCCCTGTAGGTCTCTCTTATGTTTGTTTTGCTTCCTGGAACTGAGAAAGGAAAGCAATTCATAGCGACGTATGGAAAGAGGGATCCACTTAAAATGTAAAGGTCTGAGGAAAGCATGAGTCTGAGACTTTGATTATGCTCACGCACATCTTACCCAAAAGGCATGTTTTAGTTTACGAGAAACAAACGGTGAGGCTGCAAAGGGGTTATAGATTTACCATGTGACCCCCCACTCTTTCTTCATCTCATTGTTCTCAAGTTCATGTTGTGAAATATAAGGTATGGCCTATCAGTTGCCTGCGTTCTTTTACATGGGCCAAAAATAAAACTCTTCACAAACATCTTATGCCCTCTCTTCTTCTTGCCTTTCTCTTTGCTGTATAAACCAGCTTTCTCAGCAACTACTGGGTCATCAGAAAAGTCACAGCGCATTTTGCATAGAAAATCAGAAAAAATACATCATGATTTTTCCAGTGATCCAATATTTTGGTGAGCATATTTCTGGGGAACCAGAGTCTGTCCACTTGGATAATGTGTCTTAAGCCCTGGTTGCAATTAAATGGTTATTTTACTTATAAAGTGAAAAGTAAAGGGGCAGACCTTCTTTCTAGGTTGACAGAACTATACTGAATGGCTTACTTCTTTTGTCTTCGCATTAGATTGGGAGTTCTGAAAAGGCTGAGACATTTCTGTGGACCGTGACCCAACGCTTTTATATAGTAGTGTTCAAATATTTGTTAAATACAGGAGAATCTTCCAAAAGGTGGTGAATAAATAAAATGGAAGAGTTTGTAACTAACTCAGCAAAGCCCCTTGCTACTTTTCTGAATTATAACATGAGAGAAAGAGAAATTTGGTTTTATTCAAGGTCTCATTGCTACAGAAGTTTCGCCTTTCAAACAAACACAATGGGGACCATAAATAAGTAGATAATGCCATTAACACGTACAGAGAGAAGCCCACCCATCCAGGACCTCTGCGGATGCGAATCAACTCTTATGGCAAATAAATGAAGACCCAGGGATGATCTCTTTAGCCTAGATAAGTTTGGGGAGTACTTCAGTGGTCTGAACCTTGGCGATGATCTGGCAGCAGTGGCAGGGATCTGACATGAGTGGCTCCTGACTAGGCTCTGACCAGTAAGGCTATCTGACCACTGGTGAGACTGTGCCCTGAGTTCTGCTTAGAACAATAGGATATTGGAACTAAGGGGATTTTCTCCTCTGCTCTCTGAAGGTTCCAGTCGTTAAGTCTGCTGAGATAAACTGACAATAGACCAATTAGCAGGAGGAAAAGCATACAGATGTATTAGTGTGTTAGAATACCAGAGTCACACAAAAGTATTCAACTCAAAGACTGGCCAGATTATTGAAGTTTAAATACCCTCTTCATAGAAGACAAAGAAGCAGGGAATGTAGGCAATTTTTAGAGGAAGAGTAAGTTACTTTTCCGGGAGGCATTGTCTGAAAAATAGACAATGGCCTAAGATAAAATTCCTCTGAGCTGTGGGTGTACAGAATTAATCTGCAAGTTTATTTCTTTCATGAGAGAATGAGAGAGACACACATACCCAGTAGGTCTTCAGGTGATGACCCACCTCCAGTCTCAGCCAGTATGCCTCATGGGCATGTGTGCCCACTCAGCGTGCTCAGCGAGGTCCTGGGACATGAACTCAGGACCTTTCTATGTCAGTCAGTTGTATTAACATTGTGCCACCCCTTGGCCCTGAAGGGCAAGAATTCTTAAAGGTCAAGTAGAAGAAATGCCATTCTCCACTTTGATTTGACCACTGGGGACTTGCAGGGACTGAAGTGCTTGCAGAGTAGGTGTGATAAAGCTTAGGGACAGAAGGGACCTTCAAGAGCCTCATTCTAGAACAGAATACTATTTTCTTTTTTTTTCAGGATCAAGGGTTCTGTCACATCTAGCATGGTGCTAACTTAAACTGACCCGAGACCAAGTCTGTACAGACTGACTGATATTCAACTTGTTCTTGGTTGACACTAGATTTGGCTGGTACCTGAATCTGAGTTTGCCTGTTTATATCTGTTCTGTTTGACCCTTCAAATGCTTGCAGTTATCTTATACCCCAGATTCCTAGAGGTGGGGTTGAGGAGTCCCAGTCAGCTGCCTGGTTTCCCTGGGGCTAGGCCCAGGCATCCACCTTTCTTACCAACCACTCTGAATTACCTCCAGCAGTTAACAGCTTCTGCACCTGACACCAAGCATGGCTGTTGCTCAGAGTTCTATTGGGTCGTAGGGTTGTTTTTGCATAGAAAAACAAGAAAAATACATCATGACTTTCCCAATGACCTGGTAGAAGCTGTTTATTTCTGTCCCCTCAGACTCCGCTCCTAGCTGCCCTACTTTCCCATAACTCTCCCTCTCATATGCCTGATCTAGGCAAAAGTTCTGGGAGAATTGAGACTCATTGACCTGTCCTGACAAACTGTCTCCCTTAGAAGTGCTTGAGGCTGGGACCCACAAGTAATGGCTATGTCTCTGGACTCCCACATAGTTGACCGCGGTTCATGTCCTGGACCCGGTGGCTTAAAACTCAGGCTGGGCGTGTGTGCATGCGTGCCCAAGATCCCGAGAGGAGAATGGAGGAGAAGGGATTGTAGCGTGGCCATCCCCCTGGGGGGTGATTTCTTGCTTTCTGTCCCTCTGTCTCTCTCTGTCTGTCTGGTGAGTGCACACGCCCTATGGCAAAAAACTTCTGGAAAAAAAAAAAAAAAAGAAGTGCTTGAGGCTTGCGGCTTGGCACTTCAGCCTCAGGTGACCTGCCTCACTCTTACCTGGTCTGATTTCCTCAGGTTGCTCCTTAAATGCGCTGAATAAGGAGCAAGGGCTAGACATCCACTGGCAACTCTAGAAACAGCAAGGAAGGGGGGTGCAATGGTACTGCCATTTTGTAGTCTTTCCTTCCGTAACTCTGGGTGTTTTGCACAAGGTCAGCAGAAACTCTTTTATTTTATTTATCTTTAAGACAGGGTCTTGCCATATTACAACTGCCCTGCCTCAGCCTCCCAGCTAGGACTATAGTCATGTGCCACCATGCCTGGCTCTTTTGTTTAGACAGGGTCTCACTGGGTTGCAAGGCTAGCCTCAATCTCACGATCCTCCTGCATCAGCCCCCTGGGTTGCTGGGATTACAGGTGTATGCCATAGTGCTTGGCCATAGTGAGTTGGCCTGGGACCTGACCATAGGCCTCCATGTGGCCTCAGCCTACGAAACACAGGGTCTTAGCAGTGCACACCACTGCAGTGGGACCAGTAACTATTTTTTGAGAACAAACCTTCTTTTCCATTTTTTTATTTCCCTGCTCCTTTTTTTGCCACCAATCTCTGTTGAATTTCCTGCAGACGTTGAGTAAGATCCACAGATACCCAAGGTGGTGGTTGCAATTTCTGAGGGTAGTTTAGGAAACACATTTTTCAGTCCATAGGAGAGTGTCTAGAGTTTGTGATTTACTTCTTCTGGACTCTAGTTCTTTATTTCTGATATGCTGGGTAAACTTCCAGTCCCTGAGCAGGAGGACTGTAAACTTCTAGTCCTTGACCTATAACTAGAGCCTACAGGGGAATACAGGAAAAAGGCTTTGAACATGGGTAGGGTTTGCTTTTAGTTCCTTTTCCTGCCATGTAGGGATCTCTATTTGCCTCCTTGCCTCTCTTCACCAGGGACATTCCTTTGGAAGTAATTTTGGTTTAAGCCACTAGGTGGTGCCTCAACCCTATCTGTAGCTTATCAGAAGGCTTGCTCTGACAGCTGGGTTAAGAGCAAGGCTTTTTTGGGAACTGCAGTGACATGGCGAACACATGCTCTTTCTTCCTGAAAATCCTAGAAGTCAACCTGATTGTTCCTTCTGTGACTAGATGCAGGAAGGAGGCCATTTCTCCATCTTTTCGGCCTATTCCTCCAGCTCTTTTTCTTGCCCTTTGCTGCAAATCACTACAAAAAATTAGAGTGGCAATAATGAGCACACACAAGAAGCGTCTCTGTTCGAGTAGTCCAGAGGTGAGGAACACCTCTCCCATTCACCAGGAACAGAAGAGCCGGGTGATTAAGAGCACTGGCTCTAGATCTCTACGGTGAAGTTCAAAAAAATTCTGGTCCCACTTACAAACTCTGTAAATATGAATAAATCCCATAACTTCTCTGTTCCTCAGTTTCCTCATCTGAAAAGTGGGGAGAAGGAAGTGACCTGTCTCAGGGTTGTGGCATTATGGTAACACGGCACTGTCTAGGTTAGACATTAGATGAAAACAAGCAAATATTTAGTCCTTGGTAGGCTCAATCTGCCATCTTGCTGGCCCTCGGGAGAGAATATCTGTCCATATCTTTTCTAGTCTTTCTAGTCTTTCTTTATGAAGGAACCTTGGTATGCCTCCTGCATTTAGGACTGAGAGAACTCTATTTCTGACCAGGAAGTTGGTACAAGATTGCAAACTTGCTCTTCTGGTCTTAAACTTCTTCTAGTTGACCCTAACCTTGGAGAAAGAACCCCCACACTACAGCAACCAGTGCCTAACTCAAAGTCGTCTGTCTGTCCTACTCCTTCCCCAAATCAGTCTGCTCTTGGCACTTTCTCCCTTTAAACCATTGTGTATCTAACTTTGCATATTTTGTTTGTTTATATTTCTGGGTTCAAAACTTTCAAAATCAGATTGGTTTAAAAACACATATTCAGTGACTTTTATGGCCGGATACCATGCTAGTACGTTTTCTATCTTCAGGGGTATTGTTATTGCAGTATGTGTCTTCACTCTTAGCACTCTAGGAGTAGGAATGAGCTCCTTCTCTGTATACCCACACAGCATACAGTAGGGACTGCAAAGTCATCAGTTTACTGAGTGATTCCTGGAGAAACAGAACTGTTGTACTCAGAGTTCCCTGGATACAATAATCCTCCATTCTACATTGAATTGTGACTATTTTTTCTATGTAAAAATGCATCGTGACTTTTCTAATAGCCCAATAAAATAAAAGTCATGACTTCTCAGGGAACTACTCTGTAAAGCACAGAGAGAATAACTTATACTCTATTGGAATCAACTCTCTTTATAGCTTAGATTTTTCTGAGTTATCTCTTTTAGTGGCTTCCAATTTGTGCTTCAGTTAATGACTTATTGGCTGACTACTGGGGTAAAGTGGGGACTGGGGGATGAAGAGAAAATGGAATGCTCCTGGGCTCAGGAATTTCAAGCATGGACCCCCTCACAGGTATCAGAAGAGGGCACCCAATGCTCCAGAAGCCTTGGAGGTTGTTTGCTGCTATCAGGCAGCTGTTTTGTTTCTTCATTTAGAGAAACGGTCCTTCGTTCCTGACAAGCTCATAAGAGAGATGAACTCTGGATAGGAGAGATGATTTCTTTGCCTACCCAAAAAAAAGATACACAGTCTCACTCATCTCTGAGAAACAGATTTATGTCTTAGATTCTGTGGTGAAATATTTAGTCTTTTTTTTTAACACTTGCATATTTTTCTGTTGAAACAGGTAAAGAATGTTAAGTGGCCCTTCTCTTGATATCCCAAAATGGCAGTAGGGCCCATAGATGAAAACAACAGGTGTGAACTTCCATTGTAAAGAGAGCTATGAAGAGTTGAAGTTGCCTGGAAGCCACCTGCCCAAGGCCTATTAGGAAGTAAAAAATAGTTCTTGTTAATACCAGCTACTTGCATGCTCCCCACTTTCCAAATCTATATAATAAAACTAGGGAGGGAGGGATATGGTTCAAGTTGCATATATCCCTTCACAACGCATTATGTTGGAGCCTAAGACCTAATGTGGTGGTATTAAGAGGTGGGGACTTTAGGAGGTAATTAGGCCTCTCATGAATGGGATTAGTACCCTTACAGAAGAGATCAAGGAAACAAGCTAAGTCATTTTCTGTCCTTCTATCCTGTGAGGACATAGTATTTGTCCTTTCTGCCATGTAAGGATACTGTAAGAAGTCCCTCACCAGACATGAATTGCTGGTGCCTTAATCTGGGACTTCTCAGTCTCCAGAACTGTAAGAAATAAATTTCTGCTCTTTATAAATGACCTAGTTAATAGTATTTTGTTATAGTAGCAGAAATGGACTAAGGCAGGTAGTGAAGAAGAACCAAAGAAAGAAGCCATGGGCATTGTTCTGGTATTTGTCTTGAGGAGTTACTGGTATTTCTTCTTTTACTCCTAGATGAGGGATAATTTATACTACCAAGCAAAGTGAGAGGGGCTCCAAGAAAATTATTTTTAGAAATTGGATGTGCCTTCCAGAAGGGGAGACTGGTACCTTAGTCCCCAGTTGGATGACTTGCCCTGGGCCCACCTGAGCAGAAGAAAGACAACTGGGAGATGGTGGTGTTGAAAGGGATTGTCAAAGTGTCATACTTTGGAGTATGGCTAGGGCTCAAGTGTCTTCAATGGGCCAGCCACAGTGGAAGGTAGCTGGGTCTGAGTCACTTAAGAGATCTATACCCAATAGGGGAATTCTGGTGATAAGCTGGCATGGTGCTACCACAGGTACTCTAGAGGGAGAAGCTGAGGGGCAGTAGAAGAAGTAGAACTAGAGCAAGATCTCCTGAGTAAGGTAAGTGTGGGGCACTGAGACCTGTGAGCCCCAACAAGGACTCGCACATGGGCCCCTTGAAGGATCAGGGATTGAATACCAACCACATGGAGGGTGTCTATAGCTACTCGGTGTTACCCTGAGAAGCATAATGACCAATGAGGAAAAGAACTATGGTGGTCAATTAAATAAGAGACATTTTTCACTAGGCCCCTGGCTCCTTCTTACAAATTTACTGGAGAAACCAGCTGTCTTAGTTCATTTTATGTGAGACTGGCTGATCTATAAAGAAAAGGGGTTTATTTAGCTCACAATTCTGGTAGCTGGAAAATCCAAGAGTATGTGGCTGGTATCTGGCCAGTCTGCCATCCTATGTCATCGCAACATAGCCAATAGAAGCAAGAAGATCAGCAGGTACATGAAGAGTGGAGAACAAGAAAGAGAGTGAATGTCCAGCCTGTAAGGAGCTCTAACCCTTCCCATGAGAGCAAGAACTCACTGTCTCACATTAATCTTCTGATGAGGGTGGGTGGTTCCCATGATCCAAATACTTCCTACTAGGCCTCACCTCTGAGAGGTCTTACTAATTTCCAAATGCCATTACACTGGGACTCAAACTTCCAGAATATTAACCTTTGTGGGACAAACCATTATTAAAACTATAGCACTGCCATTGAAGAACAGGTAGTTGAAGTGACTCAGAGCCTGCACATCCCTTTCTTGGCTCCCAGGGCCTCAGCTTAAATCATGCTAATGGGAAAAGGTGTGATCTCTAAATCAAGTTTGAGATTTAGGTTTCAGTTGGACTGAGTTATTATAATAGAAAACAAAGAGCAAAGCTTTGTAATATGCCTAGGATATCATTAAGGAATGCAAAGGGCAGATTTGACTGAGCTTGAGTGAAGGAAGTAATTAAATTAGAGAAAAGTAAAATTGCTTCATTTTCATACACCACTGAGTTGAGACAGTAATATACAGGTTATACAGGTTACAGGCCTTCTAAATAAGATTCATTTCAAAAGGGACTCTTATATCTTTAAAAGTTTATGGTATAAATAGGAGATACTTTTAACAGCAATACATTATAAAAGTTTCTGGATGAAAACACAGATTTTTTTCCCTTAACATCAATATCTTAATCAAAAGAAAATTGTAAAAAGTCACTTGGTTTTTAAGTCGTATAGATTTTCGTGTACTCGAAGGTAAGAATTGGGGGGAGGGGCAGTAAATACTGGGTTTCTGGGAAACTCATGACACATTTTTGCATAGAAAAATATGCCATGACTTTCTCAACAGCCTAATATTAGGATTAT